TAGTTCTAGGCCAGAATTTGATTGAGTAATTATCCGTCTTTGATCTTTCTACAAGCGCTAGTATCCAGTTATAAAACAAAAAATATTTGTCCTTTGGCAAGGGAACCAAGAATCAAAGAACGTGATTTGAAGATTGACTGTAATTCGGCTGCATTTAGTGTAAGATCAAACGTAAAAACTCGAACTGAGGTTAGAAGAAACCCCCGTTTATTCTGGCTGCAACTACAATCGAGCCTCTACCAAAGGCCAATTAATTCGTGTCTCCAAGGTGGAGGTTCGACTGTGTTACCGATTGGTTAAAAAGACTTAAGTCGTCAGCACCTCACGGAAATAATAACGGTAACGATAAAGGTACTCAGACGATACTGCTTATCAGTATGATCAAGTCGAAATGATGGATGAAGAAATAGATGAAGAGAGCATCATCACAGCTATGCGACTGATGCAGTTTCAAAAACTATTAAAGCCTGAAAAAATTCAGGCTTGCCAGGCTTCGAACCCTAACCTCTGCGATCCTGTGCGGCCTCTAACCAATTGAACTAGAAAGCCAACTGGGAGCTGATCATTAAATTGGTCCGTAATGTACTCTGGAAAGATGAAGATGTAATGATGAATATATGAATTTTACATAAATTTGTTCGAATGGCGGGATGAAGAAATGAATGCAGGTAAGATCATCAGTATATAAGTAGAAATTTAGAGTTGTAGGGGGTGCCTTTTGCACTAGGATACTAGTTTCTTATGAAGACACAAACACCCCAGTGGCCAGAGGGAAGGTCCGATTTTCAAACATAAACGCAAGGAAGAAATTCATTTTTTCCTGCAAAACGATGCCTACAACAAAAAATTTAACTGTCGCAACCACGTAAACAACACAGTTCGGCCCATGTTTTTACAATGGTGGTGAAATATTACATTCTGAGTCTTCTATCTCTATTCGTCTCAAACGAACAGCAACTTAACCACCGGATATAAGAAAGCCTGTCATTGCCCAAGCCGAGTATACATTACTACTTCTATTACTTCTGATCGAGGACGCGCTTAAATCAATTGTAAGTTGGTTGTCTGATGCGATGTAACCCAGGCATCCATACGCCACTGGTACCCTGGTTCGCCCCCTGATATTGAGTGGACGAACCATCCACGGACCCTGTCATTGGCCAAGTATTATTCCTAATCGATATTGTAAAGTGATCGTCAGATGTGATGTAAAGCAGGCGTCACTACTATTTTAATCCACACGCCACAAGTACCCTCGTTCGCGCTCTGAGCGACACCCCATTTATCCATATATAAAGGGGGAAAACGAGTGACCGCACATCGATTCTTGTGCGTAAAACGGAAAACGAGTTACTTTTCTTTTTTCTTTTGTATTAATTTGTACATAAAAGGAAAAAAGGAAAAGGGAAGCTGTTTTTTTGTCTATCGTTTTGTTGTATTAATTTTTTTGTATTTTTTTGTATTAATTTTTAATTTTAATAGGTTTTTCTGTTTCAGAAGACATCCTAGGAAACACTTGTGTACTTAATCGAGTTCAGAAGGTCATGGCTTGTGATTTGTGGATTTCGACCCGTTTTGTGTTTCATTAGGTTCGTTGTTTGTGACCGTCCAGTTTAGGGCAACCAATGTCTAGCTGGCTTCGAAGATTTTTTTCTGATCTTTCTTATTCTTGTCACTTGCAAGAATAAAGCAATGTTTCCCTCCTTCCCTCAACAAAATTTCACTCACCATCGCTAATTCCTTCGCTGTTTTCGAGCAGTCTAGAGTCATTCTCAGTTTTGTTTCAGCGGGCTTAGCGTTGCATTAACCCCCCTTAAATCTTTTTCTTGATGGCTCTGTCAAATCACCGATACTGCGATTCACTCGCTAAGCGCTGTTTGATGAGCGGCCGTCGCCTTTACTTCGGATTGTTCAAAATATCATCACTGCTGGCTTTGATTCCGGCCAACCCAGACGCTGCTAAAAAATTTTCCGGCTTGATTTGTACCAACGTCACTATTCGCTCTTTACATCCTTTAGAAAAATGGTTTTTGAACTGGCTCTGAGTATAATTATGCGCAATTTCATCGTTTAGATCTCGACTTGTGATTGGCTAATTTCAAAATTTGTCTCAAAATTTTCTCTGGATGGCCTCGGTTCATGTGTTCGCACTGTAAAGAAGGATAGGGGCCAAATGTTCGCACTGTAAAGAAGGATAGGGGCCAAATCGTGGTGTCCGTTTTAGGCAGGTTCTTATAGATTTTTCCCTATAGAGAGAGTTACATAAATACTCTCGTAAATCTGAGATAAAAGTCAGTCAAGTCAAAATCGGCGAGGTGATTTATTTGTCCACTGAGCTATTTGTAAAAGAAATTAAATGGTACCTCTCAGTCAACAACTACTAACAATTATAGTGACTGAAAATTGAAATTGGAAATATTGCGGTGGTTAAATCCCGACCTAATATTTTTGTTGACGGATTAACCATCACCTCACTCTGTGTCACGTAGAAGATTAGGTTTTGTGTGAATTCACATCGTTGACATAGAAATTGTGGTAATTTATATTCATCTTTCAACACCTTTTATTCTTACATTTAAGGACATAAAAAGTCTCATTTTGGAGAGCTACATTTCCAGGAGGATCTTTACACTCTTCAACTGACAACACAACCCGCCGATGAAGGAGAAAAGCGTGGGACAGAAAAGACCAAAAAGATTATTAACTTGAAAGGTATGAAAGCAATGCTCTTATCCTTTTTTCCCCACGATCTGTTATTGTCACCGGAAACATTATGGCCTTTAATACCGAGTTAAGTAATCTCGTACCCAGATCTCTTATTACCGAAGCCGAAGGCGAGATCTGGTCAAGTAAGAATTATATATATATTTTTTGATTGGCTAGATTGTGAGCGAATGGCGTGAGTGTTGTCTGCGCGTGCTATGGCGTGTGCATTTCATCTTTTGAGGTTTTAGCGCTATGATCAAAGTAAACTAAGGGCCTGTTTACATGAAGGTGGGGGACCCCAGATAGGTGAGTTATTCATGTGGCTGGTCACCTCACCTATAATGTAAATTAAAAAAGAGAGATTATATGGACAGGCGGGTTACCCCACCTAATCGGGTTACCTCACCTACCTGGGGTCCCCCATCTCCATATAAACAGGCCCTAACTGCCGCGTTGAATTTGATGTTACAAAGAACAACAACAACAAATTAGTTGGTTCATACTTAAGACGTGCGTTTAGCCACATTCCTAAATTCCCTAGTATTTAGCAAACTGTTTTATTGCTCCACCATATGGTCTGGAACTTCTAAGGGACCGGTCATTATTTATCACCTGGGGGGGGGGGGGGGGGGGGGGGGGTTTTGGGGGGGGTGCCTTGTTTTTTAGGGGAAAGGGGGGGGGGGGCGGGCGTAACGGGGGGCCAAAAAGGGGGGGGACGCGGAAACTTTTGGAGGGGTTCAGGGGGGGGGCCCCACA